AGCCTCACTGGCATAGTCTAAGTGCTGCTGCTCCTGTTTCACTTGCAGCTGCAGCACATTTTTAATGTCCTCCTGGCCGCCTGTTCCCTCTTCCAACTTCTCCCAGCAGAGGCTCTGCTCCTGCTGCTGTTGCTGCTGCAGCGTACTTTGTATCACAGATGAATAGGCCACCGTTGTGGGCGTCGCCGGTGGCGCAGACGAACCAGCGCCTGGCACATTCACCACCGATCGTCGCTGCACTAGAGGCGCTGTCTTGTAAACAATCACTTGAGCCTGCGGCGTGCTGACCACGTCCACGGCGTTTAAATTCGTGATGGGGGATCCGTCCGCCGAGCTCTGAGCTGGACTGGCATACTGTGCTGGATAGGATCCCCCCGAACTGGCGGCCCCTACTGGCACAGCCACTGGCACTGGACTAGCACTCTGCTGCTGCTGCTGTTGCTGTTGCTCCATGTGGATATGTTGGGCCTCCTTACGCGTCAGCTTCACCTTTTGTCCATCCAGCGTGTAGTAGGTTTCTGTCTGTTCGATATCTTGCTGGAGATGGTGATGATGCTGCTGTTGCTGCTGCTGCTGGTGATGCTGCTGCTGTTGCTGCTGCTGATGCTGCTGTTGTTGCAGCTGCGTCAGGTATATTAAATCGTTGTAGGCCTTTATTTGCGCCTTGGCTTGTTGTTGGCTGTTTTCTTGCTTAATCTGCTAGACACGCAGACGAGGACGGGGCACATAGATTGAATCGAAATCGGAATCGGAAAGTTTTGGTTTGGTTTTGATTTTAGAAACACATGTGTTCATGGTTGGATTGGATATGGCAAAAAGGTCTAGTCTAAGCTTAAATGGCAGGGGTGGGGGTAGAGTTAGGTGGTTAGTAGAGCAGAATGACAAATAATGCGATAGGCGGAACTTCAGGCGGGATTGAGAGATTCTGATTCAAAGATTCCGCTTCCGCTGAAGTCCCTGCCCCACACCTAGAGGAGCGATTGATTAGGTAAAGAATAGGGGGGGGGGAGGGGGGCCGGGGCGGCTCTTGGCGGGCATGTTGCATATATGTATTTTATGGTATGGTATGGTATGGTATGGTATCGTATGTCAGTGAGAGATCAGTAAGCCAGAGTAATGCAGAGGATCCTACTCACCACTTTGTCGGCCACCAGGTTCAGCTGCTGCTGCTGCTGTTGCTGGGCCGCCTGCTGCTGTTGTTGCTGCTGCTGTTGCTGCGCCTGCTGCTGCTGCATGGCAAGGAACGTGTTCGATATCATGTTGGGCGTGTTCCAGGTCAGCGACGTTGAGGTCAGGGCCACGGTCGTCGGCGATGGCGAGGCGCCGCTGGACGACGAGTTCTCGCCGTAATAGTTTGAGGCAGCATTGTTTACCACGGCTGCTGCTGCTGCCGCGGAGACGGCCGCCTGATTTTGAAATGTGCTTAACTGCTTGTCCAGCGAGCTGGGGAGCTGCAGCTGGCGGTGTGGCGTGTTTGCCGCCGAGGAGGCATAGTGGGCGGGCTTCGGCTGTACACTGGCCGCGGCCGCATGGTGATAGATCTGCTGGAATACTGGATTGTAGCTGCCGATCGGTGATGGTGGCACAAAGCTCCCCCCACTGGCCGCAGCGGCATTGAAGCTAGCAATGCTCGCCGCGGTTATTGTCGCCAAATGCGGGTGTTGGAAGTCCTCGGCCGTCCCGCCCGTGCTGCCAGCACTCGCCGGCACGATGCGGTTGTACGCATATGACCAGGGGCTGGAATTGGGATCCATGTGAAGGTAATGGCTGTTCTGCTGCTTCTACTTCTACTAATGCTGGTAGTAGTAACTAAAAAAAAAAAGTTGAGATTTGTTTGTTAGTGAATTCACTGTATCATCTTCGCACGAAGGGGGAGGGGGTAAGTGCTTCTCGGGCAGGTGGAAAAACTCTATTTGTTCTATTCGCGGGACTCTACTGCCCATCCACCACGCTGTTTCGATCAAAATATACACACAAGTGTACATGTGTATGTACACAGGCTACACTTGTATGTATGTATGTGCCCGAAGGGAACTTCTTTTGGCGTCGTCTGTATTTTGTGCATTTTTTGCTCACACATAAATTATGCCGCGTAAGACTGTGTACGGATAGCAAGGGCCAAACATTGTCTCGTTTCATTGGGAACGCACATTTTTACTTGTTCAGGAGCGCAGATTCATTGAAAAAATATTCCTCTTTCCAGAATTGCTCGAATTTTTAGCACTTTGAATGTTGTACATATGTATCTATACATACACACATGCATGTGTATATGCATGCGTGTGCCTGCGTTGTTGAGATTGAAAGATAGCCACACTAACTTGTCGTTGTTGTTACAAAATCGGGAGGCGCGAACTGCGTCGGGCCAACATTCTTTTTATATTTAATTATGCACTGCTTAATGCACAAGCTAATTTTGAGTTCAATTTCAAACTAAACTTTTTTCAATTTTGATGCATAACTTTTTTGTGGACAATCTCCAAAATGGCCGCTTCGATATCGAGAATATCGATGGTTTTGGAATTGTGCGATGTTTTTATGCTATCGATGTGATTGTGTACGATGCGATTTTTTTGATTTATTTATTGATTTATGTAAGAATATTTCATTTAATTGGATAGACTTCACATCCAATATCAAAACGAGAAGGAAGTGCGATTCTATGTGCATGCCCAGAAATTGAAACCAGCGGATATGGAGCACTAGATCATGGGAATAATGCCAAAGTGAACCGGTTCGTGGCGCGAGTGTCTTTTGTTTTTATCGTCGTGACAATTATTAAATGCATGTTTAGCTAACGACTTTATATTAAATTGGTTTTCAATAATGAGGTGAGTAAAACCGGCTCGTCAAAACAATACACGGGAGCAATAAACAGTTCATTTCCTGCAGCCAGGGCGTGGGTACACAATCGCATGTGCTGCGTCACAAGTGCTGTACAATGGTAGATTTTGGTTGTTGCTTGAGTGTTTACATTGTTTTTAACTTTATTGGACACTGTAATGCTTTTAGTTTTTATTTTAAATGTTAAGCAAGCCATGCAAAAAGTTGTTCTGTTTTTTTTTTTTATAAACTACAGCAGCAACAGCTCTACATTGTGCCGTACGTTAGTCAACACTGCGCGAACTAGCTCGATAACTTTTCTGCGATATTTCGGGTGCTAATGACCGTCATTTTACGTATTCATTGCTAAAAGAAAACTGAAGAAACATATATTCTCTCCGGATTTCCTCTTAGTCATCATAATCTGATCTTTGTTTCGAATTGCAAACTTCAACGAGAGGTATGTAGAAATCTACAGTGGGCTCGCTTGCACAGAATGTGTGGCCAGTTTGAGCCTGTCCTGCGTACGTGTAAATGGTGTGAGACGCCCACTAAATAATCAACATATTTTAGCGTAAATAGAGATGGATTTTGGTGATGATTTCGCATTGAAGGAGGAAGTCGACCCAGCGGCAGAATTCCTGGCACGGGAGCAGTCAGCATTGGGGGATCTCGAAGCAGAAATCACAGGCGGCTCTGGCACGGCCCCAGATGCTGCCACAGTGGACGATGCTCTTGGTCTTGGTCTTGGTGGCCTAAGTGGTGCTGGTGCGGAGCTGGGCAGCGAGCTATCTGCGACTGGAGGTGGCCTTGAATCATCAACTGGCAGCTTCGAGGTGATCGGCGGCGAGTCGAACGAGCCAGTAGGAATTTCTGGGCCTCCGCCTTCTCGGGAGGAGCCTGAGAAGATACGCAAGTGGCGGGAGGAGCAGAAGCAGCGACTCGAGGAGAAGGACGTGGAAGAGGAGCGTAAGAAGGAGGAGCTGCGGCAGCAGTCGAAAAAGGAACTCGACGACTGGCTGCGTCAGATTGGCGAATCGATTTCAAAGACGAAACAATCATCGCGAAACGCTGAAAAGCAGGCCGCTTCATTGGAAAACGGGACCATCGAGCCAGGCACTGAGTGGGAGCGCATAGCCAAGCTCTGCGACTTCAATCCGAAAGTTAACAAGGCGGGCAAGGATGTCTCTCGAATGCGTTCCATATACCTGCATCTCAAGCAGAATCCAATTCAGTTGCAGAAGACCACCTAAGTGTCACATCTTGACGCTTTGGCTTTGCCTGCCAACTAGTTTTAATTATGTACTCGCCTAATCACACATTGAGTTGAATATGAAAATTATTATTGAAAAGTATTCGCTGTATATTCCAATTATATGATAAATACATTATTATTGCTGCTGACAAAAATTTGCGATCATGGTTCGTGTAATGAAGGCAATAAAGAATGTGCACACAGTTTTTTTTAATTTGAATTAAATAAAAACAAAAGGAACCCATCCAAAAATACCCTTAATAATTGCAGCGACGCATCTGCAAATAAGGAAGTTTCCGAAGCAGGGAATTCGAAGCGGCAGGACTACCTGCATTGGGATGATTACTTCATGGCCACGTCCCTGCTCTCAGCCCAGCGCAGCAAAGACCCTGTCACCCAGGTGGGCGCCTGCATCGTGGACCAGCAGAAGCGCATTGTTGCCATCGGTTACAATGGATTACCGCGCAACTGCAGCGATGACGAGTTCCCCTGGTCGAAGTTAAGCAAGAACAGTTCTCCCGATTCCCTGGAGGAAAAGAAGTTGTATGTGGTCCACGCCGAGGCCAACGCCATACTCAACTCCAATGGCGGCAGTTTGGTTGGTACATGCCTGTACACCACGCTCTTCCCGTGCAACGAGTGCGCCAAGCTCATTATACAGGTAATCCTGGTTTTTACCCACTCCAACCAGATATTTACCCAAATAACATTGGTTTCGTTACGCAGTCTGGCATCCAGAAAGTTTTCTACATGTCGGACAAGTATGCCCATAAGCAAATATACCGCGCATCCAGGCGCATGCTCGACTGCGTTGGCGTGGTCTGTACCCGGCACGTGCCCGCCCAGAAGCAGATACTCATTGACTTTGACGCCTTCCTCCAGGACGATAGATGAAGCACTCATTCAACAGACGAAACTAAATCTAAATTGATGTGAATTTTATGTAAATTTTTGATTCATAATTTATTATAAGTAATTGTGATTCTTTTAATTAACTGTAGTAAAATGTGTCATTGTTTTGAAAAATTCCCAGAGCCATTTCCATATTTAAAACCAATTCATTAATGTATTAAACATAATTTCTTACTCTTTTGGTTCCAGTGGACTAGTCGTTGTAGGTGCTGTCGTAGATGGAGTTTCAGAGGAAGCTTCGGAGTTAGAGCTCGTGGAAGACTCTGTTGATTCCAGCGGACTAGTCGTTGTAGGTGCTGTCGTAGATGGAATTTCTGTTGGCCCAGCAGATGAAGAAGTTGTCTGTTCCTGTGGACTACTCGTAGTTGTTGCTGCGCAGTCCGCCGGTCGAATGGCTACACATGTCGTGGAGGCCGAATCGAAGAATGGTTTGTCCCCATTGCAGCTATATAGGATGGCTATCCACGTGACGGTACTGACCTTCTCGCAGTAGAGATAGCTATTGCATGTCATATCTTTAATGTATCTCGTAAAGAAGTAAAGATAGTTCGAATTGGCACCTGCCTCTTCGCAAGCCTTCACTTGTTCTTCCACAGTGGGTACCGTTGGGTCTGGGGGTGCCACGTACTCTCTGTTGCTGCACGTAGCCGCCTCGTTCAACTGTGGATCAAGCATCGATACAGGTCTGGTATTCTCTCATGGGTATGACGTAGACACTTACGAAGGTAGCGGCACAGGTGGGCACACAAAGGGTGCCGTGGGTGGCGAGGGCCTCAATCACACAAATCTCATCGGTGCCACAGCTGTAGACATTGGCGGTGGATACCTGCTGATCCACACATCGTGCAAACTGAGTCTCACTGACGCAGCTGTATTTGTTGCTGCCGCTGCAGACCGCACAGTCCTCACCGTTTCCACCAGATGGCCCACATACGTCCAGCACACTAGATCCATCCACAAAATAGCTCATCACGCAGACATCCTCGGTGTTGCTGCAAACGTAACCGCTGTCACACGTCACAATGTCGCCAATGGGATTGTTTTCTGTAAGAAAACTTCTGTGAATGTTGCCCATGGGATCCAAAATTTCAACATGGAACTTACGCATGCAATTTCGATAGGAGGTCTGGTCATGACAGTAGGCAGAATTACCGCTCTGACATTCCTGGCACTTTTGTGCCGCCACGAAAACTAATAGGGCGCAAGCGGCAATGACCAAAATGGCAATGATCTTTTGCATTTTAAGTATCAAAATGATCAAAATTCTTTAAAGAAGGTCTCTTATATAGCTGGGAATCAAATCTTGTTGCCAAATTCATCAACCTGAATATGTTTATGGCCCACTGTACAATAATGGTGCTTATCAGAAATGAATCGGTCTGTCCTAGTCGTAAATCTACCATCAATTAAGTAATTCTGGAAGTTTTCTGCGAGTTTTCATACCATATCAGTAAACAAGAGAGAATAGTGTAGGTTTGTGCATATTGTTGTGATTTCCACGAATAAACTGTTATCAACATTATTATTTTTCCGCTCCATAAAATGGAAGTTCGGATATCTGTTGGAGAAGCTTTAAACTTTAATAAGCTGTATATGTACATATGTATATCCACTTACAGGTGTTCCGTCATCCAAAAGGTCAGATGGAATATGTATGTACATACATGCAATACTTAATTAATATTGCAGCCCCAAAGGCAGCTAAGAGGGTTTCACAAGTGTTGAATGGGGATTACTTAGTTCAAAAGGAACCATACCCACAATTTAAGAAGTGACTTGAAGTGACTCAATGCATCATAAGTATCCGTATTTAACTTATTTTATATCTCAGTTGTTTTCTATCATTGAGAAAGTATGTACATGGACAGTCTCGAACTTTGAAATTTGAGTGCCTTTGCCCAGCTAACCAGAATTTGTGGTAAAAAATTGCATTCAGCTTTTATGAAGAGAACCGAACCGGACCGAGCAAAACGGTGATGGGATGTTTTAAAATGGCATGCCGGCACGAAGGAGCGTCGCCCTGGTGTGGCGTGCCGCCAAGTCAAGAAGCCAGGAAGTGGTACTGGGGATATGCAAAACAGCGCAGTTATCCGGATGCCAATAGGAACAGGCACCTCGTCTCACGCAAGCCCCATATACCCAGGGGTACTTGTGAATGTGCATATATAGAGTCGTTTGTTTTCGTAAAGGTGTCTCTTCTATTATCTATGTCCACCAAGAATGTCTTTCAATCTAAAAAATGAACAAAGACTACATATCTCCATACTTTACCTACTTTCTTGAGCTCGAGAAATGCAGCCTGAACTTTAAGATTGCTTCAGAAACGGCTTACAAGAAAGTACAGCCAGATTCTCTTTTGGCCAAGGCTTTCCGAAGTGGACACGTAAAGTGGTTTCCCCCATTTTGAATTACTGGCAAGGGCGGAAAACCCCTAAGTTTTTGGCGACCTAACCGGGTCAGCGTGTAACAAAGCCCTAATTTCGGGTTTCGTGAACTTTAGCTACAAATTTTCCAAAATCACATCGAGTGGCCAACCGAAGGCTTGGTGGCACTGGACTACTTAGAATGTGTGCTACGGGTCGGTCACCCATGTATGCGGCAGCAATAAAAGACACGACACCGAAAAATAATCAATATACTGCGAGGGTACGAAATAAAGCTGAAGAATACAAATGTGTTTTTAGAAGAAAGCACCAGTCCAGGCTACTTTTCACCATGAAACTTTAACTATCAAATACTGGTGTACAAAATGTCAACTACCTTGTATGGGTATTCATCATGTCGATATCCTGCTAAACATCCGAACGATCTGATACTAGTATGTGGGAATCAGTATCAAAGAGGGCATATTTATTTTCGTTTTGCTTTGGGAATGCTTCACCTGAATTCAATCCGATCTAGAATCTTTAGCACATCATGAACTTTTTAATATGAATGCAGAGACCCAAAACGTTATCTAAATTGAAACAAATATTTGAATAAGTGTAGCATAACGATATATGTAAACATCGAATCAATCGGCAAATTAGAAGATACCAACCTTTCGCGTAGAAAACAAGTTCTAAAACACCGAGGAGGCTCAAAAAAATATTCAACAAATTCATTACATACTCTTCAAGATTCATAGAATTTCAACGTAATAACAGAAAAATTGTACTTCCGGACTAAAAAACTAGAATGAATTTTTCCGCACAATTATAAAAGTGAATACCAAAGTGAATACTTTTTGATTCAAGGATTCTTTTGAAAGCAAGGACATTTGGATTCAAACTTTTAATGTGTTTCGTTTGCCTTTTATATTGTTTAGTTGGGTACATGATATTTTTTCTTGAAAAAAAATGAAAACTTTATAAAACAGAAAATTACTTGTTTTGACAGTCTACATTTCACTGTCCGCTACTGTATGTATGTAGGTATGCATAGACCGATTCATCAACTACATGCAGCGATTTATTGGAAACGCCTTGGGGGTCACCCTAATGCACTAGTCAGACCTCTAACAACCAAGCCAAGAAAGAGAAGATTCCTATAAGATCGGATCGGCTATTGATGCTGATCAAGAATATATATATTTTTTATGGGGTGCGAAACGCTTCCTTCTGGACGTTACACACATACACTTTCACCATAAATCAAATATACCCCTATATTCATTTTGAGTATCAGGTATAAAAAATAGACCGATTCATGATGAAATTATTTAAGGTGGTCCACTAACTTTCTATTGGATCCAGTTTTACTATCAGCACTACTGCAAGCGCTTTGACGCCATGTTTGATGAGAGAGAGAAGATCGACGTTTTTTGTTCCATTCATCATGGGACCGATTCTGCGATTCACTTTTATCATAGAAACCAAATTTCTAGACTGATAAGAAATGCGGAGACCGTTAGGATTGTTTTGCCTAAAATTCTGGTATCTGGTTGAACTCAAAGGAGGAACATGCCATTTGATACATTTATGACACGTTCTATTATTTTGGGGAAATAAATGTCGCAGTTGATGAATTTCCTAAAAGGCCTCTCAAGAGAGAGTGGCAAACAAACGACAAACGTCACCTTATATTAATACACCTCAGGCACAGCATTAGCATCGCTGTCCTCTATCTCCCACGCTCATTTGTCAGTGCACAAGGTACATGGATTAGAAGGTGAGACAGCCCAAAAAAGCAGCCTCTAGCTTCCTTCGGCAAGCCTCTAGACATGGATAGGGAGCAAGAGAGAGAGAGGGAGAGAGAGAGAGCCTCCCTGAACAGTTACACCTTTTATTTTACATTCCTTGGGAGAGTGGGTCGCAAATAGCGCGCAGCCTCCGGAGAAGAGCGAAAATGGAGCAAACGGGAAAAATGGGAATGACAATTGGAAGGTGCAATCAGCTGATACGGACGATGGATGCCGTTTGTTTTGCTTTGCCCGTGCTTGCTGCTGCGACGACACTTTGGGGAAACAGAAACAGCAACAGAAACGGCAACAGAAGCGGCGACTGCGACGCCGACTGTGCGGCCACTGTGGCCAAAAAGGATTTCCGAGCTTCTGGCCCGAATCAGTTTGTAACGGAATTCCATGAAAGACGGACCGCGAACACCAGAGTGTGCCTGTGCCCTCCTCGCTCCCTCCGTGTACGTAATGGTGACGCTGCCGCCGCTGCTGCTCCCCAGCTCGGCGCGCTATTTCGGAATCATAGCGCTGCTATGCGTCGGTGTGTGGTGTAGGTCGTCTAGGCTGTTCTGTTGTTCTTGGTGCTGGTCGGTGGTACGCTGGTGGTGGTGGTGCAGTGCTCTTTTGTCACCAAAACCATTCTATTCTGTGTTTGGCTTCATTTAATGCTTTACGCCGCCTTTGTACTATTTCCTGTTATTGTTGATGCCGATGTATGTAGATGTAGCTGTTAATATCTGTACATATGTATGTACATACATATGTAGCCACGGATGCGGCATGGTGTTTCTCCACGCTCATAATTTTATGACCACTTATCCCTCTGAAAGAGGAAAGGGAAATGGCACCTACTCGTATATGGTGATGTATACAGTGTTAAGTTATGCAGGAATAATCATTTCCACCCCCCCCCCCCCCCTCGCCAAACATACTGTGGCTTACTGCACCTCCGCATACTTTGACAGAACAATTTGTTGTGCAGTGTAATGCCTTTTCTTCTTAGTATGTGTATATTGTACATATGTAAATGATGCCAACAACAATAACTTAAGGCGCCAAGCCATACGAGAGCGAAATGGGTTTTACTTAAGAAACGTACACACATACATATGCACATATTTATTTAGAAATTTCTCTCTCCGATGGATATGAATACACAAGCGCACACATGCACACATCTACGGACAGAAATTTGTTTAAAATATATGCAAATATTGGAACAAACAAATGTTTAAGGTGATGAAAGACCCCAAGAAGACATTTCTGTCTGAATTGCCAAGTAGGCAAAATGACTATATGGGTCATTAAATGTGTTTCATTTAAAGATGGAAATTACTTTTGTCTATCTAAGCATACATAAATATTTCACATAAATATATAGTATGTATGTATTTGGTTTGTATTAACAGTAGCAGAAAATAATACATGCAATCTCACATTTGATTGATATGATATGATATATGTGTCTGGCAATCACCATTTATAAACTCTTACTAAGGTCGGAATCTCGTTTTTTTTAAGTCTATCAATCTACAGCATTCGTCAGCGTTTCTGAAACAAGATGAATCCGATCTACGCATGTCTGTCTTTTCGTAGAAGATCAAATATAATCGGTCTAATGTGCATAAGTTGGAGGATTTGAAGAAATAATTGCTTAACCAAGATAACAGATTGCTTATAAAGCAAAAACAATTTAGAATCCTGTAATTGGGGTACTTTCCGTACAATTTGTACTCTTACAGTAGTTTATTCACTTTTCAGTACACTCTTATAATTATTATGATATTAGATTAGTTCAAGTGCTTTACCCTACCTTTTGAATGGCAGTCATATCGAAGATTAGATTCCCTCATCCCAACGAGGTTACCGAGAGTTAGATCCTGAAACGCAGACCGGCCCCCACAGAAGCAACCAATCCTGCTGACGTTTGGCATTTGATTTTGGGGCTTTCCATTTTGCTTTTGCTTTTTTTCGTTCCCCGAGATTCACTTGTTTATTTATTTTCGTGATTTCGTTTATTTTGCCCACCGCCTGGGAGTTTTTTTCTTTTTTTTTTTTTTGGTTTTTTATATCGTGCTTGAACTTCCAGCGGTTTCATTCCCCTAATGTCCCACCACTTTTGATTTGATTTTTGCGTGGGCTTTAGGACTAAACTTTTTTTGTTGTTGGTTGGATATTGAAATGGCAAAGCATGGTATTAGAAAGTGGTGCAAAGCAGGAGGCTCTTTAGGTCTTGCCACTTTTCGTTTATGTAGGCGAAGTGTTTTTTGGAATATGAAATTCCAAAGGATTAACCGCTGAGCATAGAAAATCATCGAAAAGAAACCCAATCTGACGCATTGTCCTTCGCTAAGGTACCTCGAGAGTACCCAAATCATCATCTAATCAAGATCTGAAATTTAAGACTCCTGCTGTTGAACATCGATTTAAATAAGTCGTTTACCTTCCATCCCAAAAGCCATCCAAGGTGTCGCAATTTTCGCGCTTGATTTGCCAACCAAAAATAAGGAAAAGGTCGGTGCTTTGTTACTCTTCGACGGCAATTAAGGCAAAACATTAACTTACGGCATACTCTCCCATGAAATACACTCGGCGAAACCTTCCCTCAGTTTTATAATACGCTTTTTTAAAAGATATCATTTCCCATTTCAACCAAAAAATCATTCCTCATGCAATCTTTTTCTTCTTGAGATATTTATCAGAAATTGCGACTCAATTTCACTTTAGAGCTGTATTTTATGCCCCATTATTCTCCGAGTGTACGTAGCGAGAATAAATTACGGCTAAATACTTGCTTCGAATGCCTTGGGGCGCTTCTCACATAGCTGCTGGGCTGGAAATCCTGAAATCCTGGTCCATATGGCTGCTTAATGCTGGCAGAGCGCCGCTTTTGAGGTGCCAAACGCCTGACGCCCAATTTCCGTTTATCCCTAATTTGGTTTATAAATAACGAAAATCGACTCTCAGCATTGACACACATCCACATGAGCACCGCATCCGAGAGCTGACATCATTTCAAAGTTGTTAAAGCCCTCGTGGCCTTGTTAATGGGGCAACCCGAGCAGACTTTTTGGCTATAAACTGTAAAATTTAACGGAGAAATGTTTATAGTTAAAACGTGATAGCTGCAGCATTGTAGCCATCCAGGTGCTCCTTCGGCAGGCTCTCTTTCTGGTACGTGCCTACCCGTCAAATTGACTCCTCGGGCAACTCAATTAAAAGCGCAGGCAACCTAATTACCTGCCAGAGAATTTGAATGAACAAATTTGCGAGCCGAGAACATTAGTGAACAGCAACATTTTTTACTTTTCTGATTCCCATTTGACCTTTGGACGGGACGAACCTTAGGCCGTTTCCAGTTTCTCATGGCTAAATGTTTTTGAAGCTACTACTGCACAGGAAATGTCATGCGGCTTTAAAAATATTTATCCGATTTTAGTAAACAGCTTATACTTAATTGAAGTAGAAGGTAATTCACCTTGATGTTAAAGACTAAATGAATTTCACTTTAGTTTAAGGTCAAATAAAAGTAGCTCTTATTTTGATTAAACTGGTTTTCATAGACTACAGAAATATACACTCGTTTATAGCTTTAATTAGTCAGCTTAGACAGTGAGATCATTGTAGGAACAAGTGCGATGTGAAAATATTTAGAGAGAGAGAGGGAGAAAGAGAGAGTGGGGTCAAAAATTGCTGGGGCAAGCTTTCTGAATTTGGTAGCAGTCCAACAAGAAAAAGACTATTAAAAATAGATCCTTATCAGTGAAACTAAAGTCAATATACCGCGTTATGCACACGACATGTATGTTGTGTGTGTTTACTATTCTCCGGCATTCTCTTTTGCAGCATTCGCCTGTACGTCTCGTGTCAGAGCATCAATGTGCCGCGTCCTGTGGGAACTTTTGGGACCCAGGACATGCCCACCGCTATTCTATAGAATGTGACCTAACGTTCTGTTAGTTGTTTGCTAAATTTATTCCAGCCATTGACCCTGAGACTTGACGCATCATCTGCAAATAAGTACATTTGCTGCCAAGTTAATTGCTGCGGGGCGTAAGCGATGTTTGCTGAACTGAAATGCTGAGTGCCAGAGTACCGGGGTGTCCGTGTGCCGTCCCGTGTCGTCTGACATGCAATTCATCGTAATTGAGTCAGCCAACAATCATCTTTTGGGGCGCCGCACCACACACGCAAGGGGCGGGATCCGGATCCTTCTTCTTTAGTTGGTGGACAGAACCTATTACCGTCAATGTCCGTTTAGCGGACAGATAGCTGCTGCTGCTTCTGCTGCTGTTCTGTTCTGTTCTGTTCTGTTCGCTCTTTGTTCTGGGATTAATGGAGAAACAACGTATTCTCTCGTCCGCAATGTGCTGGCGGATAATCCCATTATCTTTTGATCCCTCTTGTCCTGACCCAAGACGGCAGCATTTCCACACGGAACCGGAAATTGACCCCAAAAGAAATGGGTAATTGAAATAAATAGAGTTGGGCCTCCAATGCATGGGACCACCGGTCCCATAAACTGCCCTAGAACCTACTTTATCGCCTTTGGCTTTAATTTCCGATGGTTTCAATGGCCTAAAGATCAAATTGTGGCTTTCCACATTGAATATCCTTTTAATTAATATTTCTGAAGCGTAAAGTTAGCGAAAATGCTTAAAGAAATTCCACAATTTTGCAGTGAACTCTCTGTCATTTTCACTTTAGACAAATTACATTTCGATAAAAGCCTTGCGCCCACTTTTGCCGCCACATTTACATTTTTCGCTAACGCAATTTTCTCTCGAAAAGTGCCACGGCAGAGGAGTGTGGCGGTTCGTCTTCTAAAACATTTTACCTGGCAAACGATGGGGGGACGCCCGTGCATTGCCTTTGCCTCGTCAGATAGGGATCTTTGAATACAGCCGAAAAAAAGTAATAATTGAAATATGCATGAGAGTAGCTCCAGTGGGATGGCAGAGCATCTGCGGGGTAGATGCATGAAGATGGGCATGGCTTGGGCCCGAAAATTGCTCTTTTCCGGAGATATGCGTTCTTCGATTTGCAGAGACTCTCAATTCGTATTCCCTCTCGGTAGTTACCAAATAATAAACTCGCTTTCTCTGGTATCGCCTGCTCATTCCGCATTTCTGCCCCGAAATTTACCCCGTACATTGCCGTAGGCGCTGTTGTATGTTTTAAGCGATTAATCAATACCCACCTTCCATGCTACCTTTATATTTAGGTTACAATATGTTGCGCCACATCCCTCATCGATGGGGGTAGCGGGTCCTCGTGTTCTGCTACAGGTTATCATTTTAATTTCACACTTCGTGGATCTGCCACTGATTCTGTTGCCACTGTTTTGTGGGTCTGTGGGTGCGGCCCCATCCGGCGCGGGTTGAAGGTTGGGTGTGGCATATCGCTCAATTGGTGGATACATTGGCCCGTTCGTCTGGAGCCACTCGAGAGAACACTGGCTTCATAAAAGCTGAAAGCATTTCGACCATCACAATAGACCCCTCGGGCACCTACCACCCCGTAGATACACATAGATAGTACATATATACTCGTGCGATATACTAGTGGTCATAAATAGTGGCAGCATAAATGGCAGCCGGGTCAACGAGTTTTGGCCAACAAAACCCCCCTTTTGCCAGTGGAGGAGAGTATACGAAGATTGTCCAACAGTTTGCAACGCATCAACGTGCGGCACGTGCTGTGCAACAGAAGATTTTCTTGGTGGCATAAAGTTGTGGCGCGGGAAATTGTGAAAAACATCTTATAAAACTTATAATTGCAGTTGTTTTTTGCAGGGTATTCAACAGTCGCTTTGCTGATGATGGTCCTCTCCTCTGTTTTAACTATCATTCTTTTATTCTCCAGTCGATAAAGCGCATCGTATTTGTTTCATTTCATTACATTCCTCCACACCCAAGCACCCATGCACCCATGCACCCATTATACTCGTACGGATATTGGATATATAGATACGTACTCGTACCCCAGGGAAATTTCCGCACAAGGAGTTCTTTCTGTCATTTGCTGAATCAGGGAAAGTAGAGGGGTACGTCCTCCACTATTCATTAGAGTAGAAAGCGAAGATGCACACCGAGCGGCACATCCGATGGGGGACACTGAATGAAGTCTAATTTGATCAAGGAAAAACTTATTATTTCAATTTAACTTTTATGTAAAACATAATTTCAGACTCGTATATTTCTTCTTTGCACCATTTATTTTTCAGTTGGCAAAGCTTTGAGACGCTGATTTGATGCCCCATGTTGCAACATCGCCAACATCGAAATGAATAAATTATACGAAAGTGAAATCAATTTGCATTAGGGCCGCCGACTAGCGAATGGCCCCCACTCGCACCCCAAGACGAGCGTGTGGAGGAGGAGGAATCCTGCAGTACTGTGCCAAGAAGTGTGGCAAGTGAGGGGGGCTGACAAATTACATTACAGTGTCAGGCAAGGGCGAGTGACATCAGGCATCTGGCATCAGACCTCTGCCTGCGACGCATGTGAGGACGTGGACGTGGACCTGGAGCTGGAGACTGGAGACCTCGCGCCTCACCTGCCAGCCGCCGCCTGACAGTTGTCGACGGGACACGGGTCGGGACTGTGGCGTCTTAGGTTACGCTGCCCTGCCTCCCTCCCCCGTTCTCGGTGGTGACCTGTGATCTAGCCTCGGGGGCTAGTTTTTGACAGCTTTGACAGGATTTGTCAGTCAGCGTCAGCCCGCAGAAGTATGCTACGCAGCTGCGTGTGCCTGCGATCCGACGAGGATGGCAAGCGGCGCGGCTCCTCCGTCGAAGACGCCTCGTCGTGCCGCTCATCGGAAATAGAGCGCGTGGGTGCCAGCATGCAGACGCTGGGTCCGAGCGGGCAGCCCCAGTCGGTGGCCGCCCAGACGACCACACGGGCCTCCAGTCTGCTGCAGTTCTTCCACAGGAAAGGTTGGTGCAAGCACTTTCGCAAGCCGCTGCGGGGAATGAGCGCCTCCCGGGCCGAGAAAAGTGAGTATACTGTTGCCTACAATAGGCTTAGATCCATTCATTTGACTTTGACTGTCGCAGGGGATTTGTACCAGAACCACAACCACGCGGCCAATAGCCCCCAAAACCTAATCCATTTACGCTATTATTTTGCTTCTGATGGTTACGAATTGGGCAAAGTGCGGTTGGCAATTGTCGCTGGTTGAAGAACATAGAATTAAGCAGCGGATAATGTCATCTGAAATCTGACCTCTACTATTGAAATAGGTATCAATACAAGAATCCCTACAGCATGAATATCGTTGGGAACAAACGATAAAGGAGTTGTCTTAGCAAGGGCCTAGTTGCTCTAAAATTTATATTTAAGATAGAATTCTAAGGTGTCCTACAATTACCATATGTCTCTAATGTGTCCTTTGGTGGTACATCTGGTCCTCCCTAATGGCTGCTTGGTGGTGGACCTGCACTTGCACTCCCCATCGATGACCTTTAGGCCACACCACAGAGACCTACCAGTATGACCGTGGTCGTGTTCCGGCGCTTGCGCTAACCTTATTCTTTGTTCGAATTTATTTTACCAGCGATTCTCATGGACCCGAGCCAGAAAGACGACGACACCCTCCGTCTCGGTCTCCGTCTCCGTCACCGTCAAACCGAAGGAACACCACCAGAGAAAGCCCCCATGGCTTGTTGGGCCGTTGGTAAGACAGCTGGACAGTTGGCTATAACTAAAGTCAGATATATGTATGTATGTATATACGAGTGTGGGTCAATACTCTGGCATACATAGCAGTAGTATACTCATTCAGCTAGTCACGCAGCAAGCCAGAAATTAGACCACAAGCACGCGGACGTGGACGCAAATTGGAAAAGGGAAGGACGTACGGACGCTCGGACGGACAGACCATCCACCGATTCGATAATTGGAACAAAGCATACTGTGGGGAGGCCATGTGCTCTTGGGCGTAAGGTGTTGTGAACTACGTTTTGTTCACTTTTCCTGTGTGTGTGGCCCACAGTGCTACGCCTTTTCAAAGCACCAAAACAACACACTTGCCCCACAAAAGCACACAGAGCACACAGAGCACGAGGCATCGTCATAGTCATCGCGTAGTTCTTTCTACTGCTGCAATACGTACGAGCATTGTAATAGTTCCAGTCGTTCCGGGTCCTCTATGCGGTTTAAAGCGGCGTACACGGCAAAATATAAAGTTTTTGGTTTTTGTTTGAGTTTGAGTTTGCATTCGAAAGACAGACAGAAGCGAAACTTTCGAGTATTTCTTTAGGGTTTGTTATTAGTTTGGACATTCAAAAGTGCATAAGGATGACATACGAAAACCAATTAATTCTTACTTTCACAGCCTTGAAGTCTCTGCGGTTAAGCCTTCGTGCTTTTTCAAGGCTTTGCCTACTCCCCCAGTTTATATAATTAACCAAACCAGCCCGTGCCTTAAATGTCATGGCAGTCTTGCCATTTTTGGCAGCCAAAAACAATACATTCGTACGGTCCAGAAAGTATTCGTCATGCAGCAGTGACTGACTTTTCGGCATTTTCCCTTGTACAAAAATCATCATTTAGGCCATTTACGAACGCTGTAATCAGGTATTCTAACATTAATTGTTACTAAGATTAATCGCAGATGTCCCACCCGAATATTTATTCGTATGGGGAATTGGCAGTCCAGGAAATGATCAAAAACAAGTTGTGAAAGTTAACATATCTACTAGTAGGCATGCTTCGTCAATTAATTACATATATTATTGGATTCAGAAATTACTGAGTGTGGATTGGAACTGGAAATTAAAGGGTTCGAAATTATCTGATGTACAAGATCTCAGACAAGCACTGTCCCAAACCAGATCCAACAAACAGTTGGACATGTATTTATACATCGATTTAGCTATTGAATATATTATCAAATGTTTTCCCCAAGATTCCCATTTGCAAAATCCAAATCCATATCCAAATTCATTGAGAAGACATGTGGAGGGAAAGTGTCCGAATAGTGTCGAATACATTTTTGGCTCGTACGATATGGAGATTTTAGAGTAAAATCATATGACAAATCCCGGAAAAATAACATTTGCAGCTGGGTATCGGACTACGGCGGATGTTGAAGCACTTTTCGACCCATCTTATGGGCTGTATAAATTTAAAAAAGAAAAAACCACCGCCCCCACCAGACGCAGCGACAAGTGTGTAAAAGATTTTGAAACTGCAGACCTCAATCCCTCTCTCTCTCTCTCTCTCTCTCTCTCCCTCTCTCTCTCTCTGTCACACTTGTACTATCTGCCGGTAGAAGTAGAACTGTTGTTGTTGCCACAAAAACCCCTGCCCTTCCCTGCCCTTGCCAGCCCTTCCCTGCCCTTCCCAGTCCTGCCCTGCCTTACCCCATTCTGCCTACCGATTTTTGACTGTCTTTGACGTTTTCAGCATTCAGTGTGTGTGTACATAAAGCAGACGAGTAAATTTGCATCAAAATGGATGAGAACGGCAAGTAATTAACGCGAGTACTGTCCATATTCCGCACAACCCATCCCGCATCCCGCATGCCTCCCGCAAGCCATTCCCACACCCCTCCGACTCCATCCATTAAAAATTTGCATTTTGTGAACTTTGTACCGATAAGCGTCGAACGGGAAATGCTTGAAAATGTCAAAGGCCGAACGTACCTTTAAGAAAACCTCTGCTTTCGGCTGTCTTTAGGTGTAGATTGTGGCTTTGATGTTTGATGTTGCATTACATAGAAATTCTTTGATGTTCCTTGATCTGGTTCTCGATGTACAAATCCCCCCCTCGCCCATACAGTCGCTAGCAAACAACCCACAAAACAAAATACAAAACATTTAATACTCGATCAATCTTTTAGCTATCAGAGCGGCTATATTTATCCAGAAATGGTATCGCAGGCATCAGGCACGTCGCGAAATGATGAGGCGCTGCAATTGGCAGATATTCCAGAATCTAGAGTACGCCAGCGAACAGGACCAGGCTGAGGTAAGAACAATTCGGAGGAGGGTACATATTCACATATGTATGTATGTACGTATGTATGTATGTATGTATGTATGTTTGTACATGCATGTATAAGCTCTGCCCTGAGGGGGCCCCCCCGACATCAGACAAATGCATTTGTAGAGTTTCAAAAGTCGATAGCAAGTCGATGGAACTGTGCTGCAAGTGCAACCACAAGAGTGAACCCTCTCTTCCCCCTCTCCCCGCAAGTCTATTCATGCGTGACATTCTGTTCTCCCGCAGCTGTACAAATTCTTCAATGACCTCATCAAACATATGCCCCAGGCCGCGGGCAGGAAAAATCAACATCATGGCGAATCCATAAGTAAGTTTTCCCCATCGACCACTAACCACAGGAATAGCCTCTACCTCCACGTGCTCTACAGTTTCCCTTCTGGACGAAAAGGACGATATGATGGATGAGCTCGGGGATACTGTGAATGCCAAAATAGAGATGCCAATTCGAAAGAGTCACATTGATCTCCTGATTGACGTCTTCCGCAAGAAACGGGTAAGTGGGCAGCAACAGCAGCAGCGCCTCTTTGTCCGTGTCCCAACCAAATAGTCGTTTCCAGGGCAACCGATTGCATCCGAAATATGTGGCGCTGATCCTGCGCGAGGGTGCCAAGTCCCTTAAGCAGTTGCCGAACATCTCCATGGTGTCCACTGCTGTGTCGCAGCAGGTCACTGTCTGTGGCGATCTGCACGGAAAACTCGACGATCTTCTTGTGGTGCTGCACAAGGTAAGAAGCAGTCATGGTTACTCTCCATATCCTCCATAATCTATATTTTTACGGGCATTCTTTTACCTTTTAGAACGGTCTTCCTTCATCTTCCAATCCTTATGTGTTCAACGGGGACTTTGTGGATAGGGGCAAGCGGGGACTGGAGGTGCTGCTGTTGCTTCTGTCTCTGTATCTGGCATTTCCCCAGGCGGTTTTCCTGAACCGCGGCAATCACGAAGACAGCGTCATGAATGCCCGCTATGGATTCATTCGCGAAGTGGAGGGCAAGTACCCCGTAAGTATTGTCAGTCGCCGATTGTGGGAGGATTGGCAAGGATTTTACCCCTGTATGTTCTGCAGCGGAACCACAAGCGACTGCTGGCTATCATAGACGAGGTCTACAGATGGCTTCCACTAGGCTCCGTTCTCAACAGTCGAGTGCTGATCGTCCACGGTGGCATTTCCGACAACACCAGCTTGGACCTCATCAAGAGCATCGATCGGGGCAAGGTGGGGGAGCCCCCTTCATTGACTTAATCGTTGACCATCGACTAACTATGCCATCTTTCCAGTACGTATCCATTCTGCGACCACCGCTCACAGACGGCGAGCCTCTGGATAAAACCGAATGGCAACAGGTACATCCACAAAGAAGGCTTTCTTAGCTTTCTAGCTATATTTCATGCGATCCCGCCATTGCAGATCTTCGATATCATGTGGAGCGACCCCCAGACCGTGATGGGATGCGTTCCAAACACACTGCGAGGTGCTGGTGTTTGGTTTGGCCCCGACGTCACCGAGAATTTCCTGCAGCGCCACCGACTCAGCTATGTCATACGGTCCCACGAGTGCAAGCCCAACGGACACGAGTTCATGCATGACAACAAGGTGGGTGGATCCTTCGTGCCCTCCCCCCTAGACTCCCCCACTCCTCTAATCCATACCGCGTCCCACAGGTAATCACAATCTTTTCGGCATCCAACTACTATGCGATTGGCTCCAATAAGGGCGCCTACATACGACTCAACAACCAGTTGATGCCGCATTTTGTGCAGTACATATCGGCGGCCTCGCAGTCGAAGCGTCTGTCCTTTAAGCAGCGCATGGGCATGGTGGAGAGCTCTGCTCTGAAGGAGCTCGCCGTGAAGATGCGCGACTATCGCGATGAGCTGGAGGATGAGTTCAAGAAGTTCGATCCGGACAACACCGGATGTATAACCATTACGAACTGGTGTTATGTGATGGAGAAGGTCACAAAGCTGGGACTGCCCTGGCGTCTCCTGCGCGATAAGCTGGCTCCTGGCACCGACAGCCACATGGTCAACTATTATACCACCTTGGATCTACTGGATACGGACGTGATCGTGAGTAGTTTCCCAGCTTCACTGTGAACCCACTATATATAGCTAATTGCTTTGCAGCTGGAGGCCGAGGCAGATGGGACCTCAGTCATGGACGCTTTGTATGCGAACAAAGCCAGTTTGGTGGCCATCTTCAATATCATAGATGCTGACGATTCTGGTAAGCACTTGCCGCACTGGTAAGCACTGATAATCCAGCTGCATCTTCAATTCCTCAGGGGAGATAACTCTGGACGAATTCGAAACAGCGATTGATCTGTTGACGGCACACATGCCGGGCGCCTATTCCAAGGAGGAGATGCTGGAGAAGTGTCGTATGATGGATCTGAATGGGGATGGCAAGGTGGATCTGAACGAGTTCCTGGAGGCCTTCAGGCTGAGCGATGTGCAAAGGAAGCAGCAACAGGATGAGAACACACGAAGGCGTTCGGAGGTCAGGGCCTCAACCAAACCCTCGGACCCCGTCACCGAGCTGGCGGATAGAATATCACGGAATACGGTCATTGTAGAGCAAGATATAGACCCATCCGACTGCGAGGCTAAAGTAATCAAACCCAATAAGGCCTAAAGGCTCCATCGTGACATCCAGGGTTAGTCCATGACTCCGTGGCTGGTGGAAGACCAAAAGAATCTGTTTATTTAAACACGAAATCCCAGGAAAATTGTTTCTCATTTACGAATTATACTCGTTCAGTTCTCCGCAGCATTTCTGAAGATCATTTGTGTGTGTTTTTTTATCGGTTACCCCGGATCATTTATAGTATTTTCGCAATATTCAAACATCGGACATAAATTTAATAGATACATGTGAATATATTTATAAAATATGAATTATGAGATCTCTGCGAAAGCTAAACTACGGACAGCAAAGTCATGACACATTTTGGCTCGTCTGCCGGCCATTCCCGAATGCTTTTGATTTATAGACCATTATAGAACGTCATTTAATACACGTATAAACCTGTAATAATCGTATTGTGCACTTTATAGCTCGTGCTTTCTTCAAGTATAGCCAAGTATCGTGCACATTTGTTATAGCTACAGTAAAAGCGTATAAATACTATAAAAGTTAGAGATACATATATACAGAAACATATGTACTATATATGGAGTAATTGCAACGCTTAAGACCTAAGCCAATGGGATCAACATGAATTTTTTTGTTTTTTTTTTAAATACTGCTAGTACCAGAATTTTGTAATAAAAGCAACATCTAAACGTTGATGCTGATGTTAAAGACATATACTATTCCTATCTATAATTATAAATACTATTAAACCCAAGCCAATTAAAGAATATACCACTCCAAATAAATCTTCATAAAGCTGCACAATTTTGAATGAAACGAATCGCAAGAAATTACAGAAATTATAAAAGAAAGAAATGGCTTCCGAAAGTACCTCTTTTATTATTTAAGAATAATTTCACAACTAAAAAATGCATATTTGGGAAAGTTCTGTGCACGGCTTGTAGGATTCTATTAAATGTTATTTAAGTTTGGTTAAGGATCTATCAAAATAAATGAACACACCAAGGAAAATTGGTTGCAAGAAAAATTACACAATAACTAACTTTACATATTCCTTTTTTCATTCGACAAGTTAAAAAGGAGTTCTTTAAGCCAAAGATAATCTAAGATTTTGATGAGATTTAAATTACCTACCAGTACCCTTTTTTAAAGTAGTTCAAGCAAAGAGTTTTAATGAAAATATAAAGGATTGCAGGAGGCATTCCTGCGGAAAAGTGTTCTGGGAATTTTTCCCGCAACAACGTTAGAGGTATTAGTTGCAATTTGAAGAGATCTTTTTTTTTTAATTTTGGAAATCCCACATACTCGTAGGAGTATAAATATGTACAACTAGTATTCCCAAACACAAGCAGTCAATAATCTCCATAGCGATCTGCTATCAAAATGTATGCCATTTGAGACCAAATTCATATCAGTTTATGCAGTTTTTGTTAGACTAACCCGTACATATATTCTGCATAAGAAAAGGTTAAAACATAGTCGATATTCCGGCTCTAGAGTCCCACGGTTAACGATAAAAACTCACATTGCCGTGGGCAGAATTGAAAAGATCGTTGTAATACATTTATAAATTTTTACACAATATATTTATACTGTATTTTCTTTGGAATATCTCTAAGCCACCTTGAATGTTGTATGTACAATAGTATAAATATAAAATATGAAAGCAATTAATTACAATGTAATGATGTTTATATCGAAGAGACGTAATTGTAACCGTAACCGTAACCCATACAACATAGTCATTTGTAGTTTTCTTCAATTGAGGTTCTGAAAACAGGTTTAACATAACATTCGTATCAATTGGCCGTCAAATTCACAAACTAAACGCAATAAAAACTTTTAAAATTAACAATCCATTTATGTTATGCTAAGTATTTAAGTAAATTATCCAGATACAATTTACAAGTGAAGCGATCGCATACTAGTTTAAGCCGTTTGTTTGGAGGGAGAATGGGAGCTACTCTTTTCCCTTCCAAAGAATATACTCACGCGATCGGAATGGAATCGAGTACCTATGATAGAAACCAAAACGCTTCTCAACAGGCACCGGTAGGACCAATAAATGTCGTCAATCGTTGACAAACAAATAACATTACGCTACGCTAGTTATCAATTAACATTTTACATACTTATCTAATGCCATATACATACTACATACATATGTTATTTAGTGTAAGCATAAGATACTCGCACCTCTCTCTCTCCAATTTGTATTTTGAGCCACATTTATTACTCGATAGTGAAAATATTTTCCTGAAAATAAACTTTATTAATGCAGCATGTTGAAAGAAAGTCATCATTATCATTACGTATCGTACTAAATAATGATTAATTTCATCTACGAGATAGTTTCCGTTCCCGGTTCCCTGGAGTAAGTACATATATTTCATCCGTCTGGAAACTGGAGATACAGTAAGCCTGTGAACGATATTTAATCTGTTTTAACTTTTATTTTTACATAAAATTCTAAATTTAAAAAAAAAATATGAAGAAGTTTTCTCCTTCCATAAGCATTAATCCGAATGCCAAATATTTCACAGACTCGGTGGCAAATGTTTTGTACAATATGGCGAAACTTGAAAGTAGCGCCCTCGCTTGGCCCACTTCCAAGGAGACTTCCAGAAAGATGAAGGACTTCAGAGGCAGAAAGGAAATCCCCTTTCTGGAGGTTCCCTTAACGCAAGCTCCATCTATCGTATATCCTTTTGCTCCGGGTCGGGCAAGCGGCTTGTGGGAGAACATCAGCCAAACTCGAAAGAAAAACACGTTTTATAAAATTCTTCAAGAAAACCAAAATCGAGAATCGTTGCGCAAGTCGAAAGGTTACCCGAACACCCACCAAAAGGTGCCGCTGATGCCAGTTTATCATCCGATACAAAAAGGTATAGATATCAGAAATATGAGCTCTACCAGGAGGCTACCCGATGACGACAAAGTTTATTCTGAAATGTACGTCCTTGCTGAAAACAATCAATCTCTGAATCACATCCAAAAAGTCGATCCGCCCGTAATAGATGTGGGTCGGAATACCAGTAAAGGGCATTGCAGGCCTAGTAGCAAAAGAAAAGCACCTGGGTCTTCAGCTAAGTCGAATTTAGCAAAAACTTCCAACTCACAAACATTTGTACTTAACTCTTCGTCCAAAAAGTTCGAATCCAAACAGGAAACACAGCAACGACAGCATAAAAAGAGCACAAGGAACCCAAAACAGAAGCAATTTAAGCAAAGTAAACTATCGAAAGACCTCTACAAAGTTCGAAAACAGCACTCGGACCCGATAAGTGTTTCTGAGTTCTCAGGAAGATCGAATAAATCCCTTCGCGGCGATACCGCCTCTATTTGCACCGAAGTTCTTCACGAAATAGACATCGCTGAGAAGAATTCGCTGGAGCGTCCCGGAAACAGTTTGATAGTCAGGCCATACGAACGACAGCTTTCAGACATTCAAAACAATGACGGAGAGCGCCAAAGAAGCACCATGAGAATGAACAAGATTCGTTCAGAGGAATTCATGAAAGTCGCGAATTTAGATAAAAAGGTAGAATCTCCAAGGGTTTCCTATGAAGAGCCATTTAATAAGATGAAGGAATCTCTTAGGTCAAACGAGTCGATACATATGTATACTAATGAACTAGAAATCGAAGAATTGCCAGCTGATGCTCTTAATTATCCATATTCTATGTTGACTGAAAATACCCTCAAAGTGGATCCTTTAATGCAAAAGAAGAGACAAATCCACTCGAAACCGAAGTTAAGAGTACGAAAAACGGGGCAACCTTTGGACGAGGTTGGCCCAAAGAAAAGCGAGTGTTGTATTTGTCAAGCGATGCATCGGCACCAGACAAAGGATGCGCCCTTCATCGTGGAGATGAAGAAGGAGCAAAAGCGGCAGGAGTTGATGGCATACCGCATCAAAATGTTGGCTGGAAGTCCCAGCACAAGTGGTGGCGTGTGGTGTAAGGCACTGGACAATTACGATCAAATTATTCATCAAAAAGTTCCAAAGAGTCACATGAAATGCTTTACGAAAACATAATTTCTCCAAGAAGACAAATAGTATTAATTCTTAAAGAAATTGTGTTCCCGTGACTAGCATTTATTCTGAAAAATGTAGGATGCGATCGTTCACAGGACATGACTTTGTAAGATAATAAAATGCTTTATATAATTAATTTATCGTACAAGTCGTGTATTTGTATCATAGCTTAGAGGTCGGAGCTCTGTGGTTTCACAAAATCTCAAAAACGAAACATCTTTTGATTGTTTTTTAAATTCCAAAAATAATTTCCACTACATACAGTATAATTTTGACTAGAATGTTCTTTTATGCATTGAAAGCAGTAAATAAGGATCACAAAGGGCAGGCCATAACTCCTCCATTACTTCTCTAAATCAAAGATAGATAATAAAAAACATATTTCTCTCGAATAATTGGGTTGTATACATATCTGTGTGCGAATAGATACTAAATTTAACTTAAACCTATCTACAATATCATTACATTACATTTACAACGTGAGACTAGAGATATATTATAATCCTACTAAAAAAAAACCACATTCTATACTGCTGTGAGACTATAGATATATCAAAATCATACTGAAAAACACTTACTACACCCCAAGGTGGTCTACGCTCCTTATGCTGCTGTCATATGTATATGTACCACTTTACAGAATCTTAAGAATGCTATTGCTAAACCTAATCTCCATTAATTGTGCCTTTACTATATACATAATACTTTCGCCTCTCGTGTTACACGGACACCTCCCTTGAATTGGCCCGTAGCTTCGTTTGATGATCGTCGAGTCCCATCTTGGACTCCGTTGTGGCTGTCATTTGCTTCAGCGTGACCGTCTCATAATCGCTGCCACTCTCGTCGGCGAACTGGATGTCGTCCAGTGCAAGGAACTCCTGCAGATCGTTCGTCGACTTCTCGACGGCAGTCTCCTTCTCTACATACGATCCAGTCATCGACTCATTAGGATCCGAGTCCGCTTCCACTTTCTGATGCACTGCGGCAATCTCGCTCGGGTGAGTCCTGATGGTGCGGATCTCGTGCTCTGGCGCCCCTCCGGTGCCCAGGGAACACGTAGAAAGGAATCGTTGCTTGGAGTGGCGTCGCTGCTTGCGGGACATGTACGGCGTGGGCTGTTTTCCACTCTTCTGGACCGTCGTCTCGCAGGGGGAAGTGGCCTTGGAGGGGCGCTCACTGTTCGGCGGCGACCGGTCCTCCGAGCTGGGTGTGTTGTCCGTCGTGTGGGATCTGCTGGACTCCGTGTTGCTGGCCGGACTCAGATAGTGGCCGTACTTCGGCATTTGGATCTCTTCGTACAGTGGCTCCGCCTCCTCCCGCTGTGGCTCTGGCGTCTTGTCTTCGTCGTCACGCTCGGCCACCTCCTCGAAGGGCGGTATCCACACCAAGTAGGCCGGATCCATTCCCAGATACGAGCCTGGTGCTGCACCAGCATTGATCACGTTGTAGTCGTAGTAGTCCAGCTCGAGCTCCTCTTGATTCCCCAACGAGAACTCGGATCCGGGCCTGGCAAGCAGTTTCCTCCGGTTCTGCTTTTCCTTGGACTCCTTGGGATTGCTGGTAGTCCGGATGGTGGCAGTGCTAACCACGCTGGCCGCGGGAGAGTAGCAGCCCTAGAGGGAGAATTATGTAGCTATAGCTATGATTCCTGTGAATACTAGAAATACGAGTACCAACTCACATTCGTCAGGGAGGAGCTGACACTTCGAGAGCCCAGGCGACCCATTCGCAACGACTCGGACACGGAGTGCAGTGAGCTGGCATCCTGTAGGCTCTCGTCCAGACGGGAGGAGAGCAGCTTCAGGGTGACCGCATCGTAACGATCAGAGTACTTGCTCATCCGCTTGCTGTTCATCGGCGGACTGTTGCACAGGGAGCTCATACCGGACGATATAATGGACTCCGAGTCCTTGGCGCTGTCCTTGCAGCTAGCCGGCAGCATATGGGCCTCCGGTGAGCTTTCGCCGTCCTCTACTTTGGAGGACATCGCG